TCTTCTGCTCCAAAATGCCCTCTGTCCTTTATTTCGTGTGTAGGGAGGTATTTATAGGGGTCTCAGTGCACCACAGTTGAAACGGGGGCAAAATAACTGACCGAGTGTTTTCTCTTTGGCCGCTGCAGTCTACACTGCCGCGGCTATTGGCGCGGCAGTATAGGCTGCCGCGGCCAAAGAGACGGTTATCAGCACGTTCCATCGTGCTTAAAACCGTTCTCCCATGACCTTTAACCACTTTTTTCGTGGTTTAACTGCTTGTCCACGTCAGCACACGTTCTGTTTCTGGTATGCTGCCACGTGGGCCTCAAAAATCATCATATAACTGTTTCGTAACTGCTGCAACACTCCTTTAACATAGCCGCGGCACCCTAGATTGCAGCGCCCAAGCCGCGACACGACAAGCTGTCGCGCCTTAGGCGGACTATGTGCTTGTCGCCGCCTTAGCCGCCGGCCTTATCGTGCACTTCGCTATCGGCGACGTCATGCGCCTCCGCGCCACCTTGTCGTTGCCTGATGACGTGTAATAATGCTTCCTCCCATATATTTTTGGTGTGTATTTTGGATGTCTGGCAAGCATTTATTTCGACGGCCTACAGATTACCCCTACCAAAGTATCTCAACTATTCATATTTTTTTTAGAGAGGATCTGGGACACTTTTGGATATGATAAGTTTCCTTGCAATTTCTCCCAGGTCCTTGCTTTTGAGAAGTGGCATAGAATGATATATTTGAATTTGGCTTAATCCTTGACTTCTTTATTCTTTTGTTACTCAGTGCGTTGGTAGAATAGTTAAAATTCCCCCGGTACTGCCGTTATCGCGTGGCCGTTGTCGAAAGTCTTGAATCAGGAACTGTTGTTAAAAATAGGAGATGCAGTTTATACTCATATACTCATCGGAGTGTTCGGGTATGTGTTCCAAATACAGCAGGAGATGTATGTGTTCAAACGTCGAAGAATTATCGTGTATGCACAGTGTTCCTACAAGCAAGAATGAACCATGGTGTGTTAGCTGCCGCGGCAGCTTATACTGCCGCGCTTGAGCGCGACAACATAGACTGTCGCGCTAGAGCGCGACAGTATCGAGTGCCACGCAGCGCCTCGGCCAATCAGATTATAAATCTGATGTTTGGGCTTCTTCGGGTTATTTTTCCCCGCTCCTTTGAGTTCGAAACCTCTTCAAACACCCTATAAAAGGTTTTCTTTGGCTTTTCCCCTTTCACCTCTTCGTATTTGGTCGATCTTTTTCTCAAAAGAGATCTAGGGTTTTGAGCACTCTTCTTGGATTTTGAGATTTCCTTTGCTGTGTTCATCTTTCGGATCTATTCCCCTCTATCCCCAGGTAGAACCAAACCTATCCTTTGCTTTTGGGTTAGTTTTGCTTTTTATTTTGAAATTTTGTCTCAAAACCCTAATTTCATTGTTATTTGAGGCAGTTTGAATATGTCACCAAAGAAGGCTCGTGCTTCGAAGGGCAAATCGGCGGCACCAGCACCTGAGGAGGTCGAGGCTGCCGAGGTGAGTTTTCAACACTTCCCCCCTTCAAAACTACTGTTTTTGCATGTATAACCTCATTTGCCTCCTTTGAGAGGCATTCGGGAAGAGTTGACATCCTCCATCGAGAGGATTGACGCTTTAAAAACACATATCTTGTTCAATCAAGACATGTACCACAGTCAAGATGCGAGTTTTTGTCGAACTCGTGTCTTGTCGAAATCAAGGGGCCGCTGTTTAGTTACCGCGGCAGTACGTGCTGCCGCGGCTGAACGCGGCAACATACCCTGCCGCGGTAACGCACGACAGTAAATGGTGTCGCGGTCACTTAGAGCGGGGCTTTGTTCTGTTTAGCCTCTTTTACACAACTGTTTTCCAACTTTTCTTTGTAGTCCCTTTTCCCTCTGTGGCCTTCTCTGATAGAGAGGACCCAGGCCAGAGTGGTACTCTTCACGCCTCCTTTCGCGGCGACTTTCTGGTTAGAGAGGCCCGCCAATTTAATGAAGATCGTGATAATAATGTTCCGGAGTTGATTTGCGAGGGAGGCCGTCGCACTCTGCGTGCTCTGCTGACCGACTCACCCTTAACTCCAACTAGAGATTCTACTGAACCGTTGAAGAAGCCTGACTATCTGTTCGGAGATTCGATAGAAGATCCAGACAATCTCTGCCGTGGCTCTGAAATTTGGTTGAATGAGCATGAAGGTGCTTTTCTATTTCTTCCTCCATTCCCTCGTCAATATTCAATTCTGCAATTAAGGAATCTTGCTGTTTCGAGAAAAATGGCGTGGCATCTAACAGAAGACCATGAGCATATCCATTGTGGATTTATTGGCAAAGATGTCAGTGCTCCTGGCTCCATTGGCAGGCATAATGTCCGTGGCCTTCACCCAGGGATATTTGGACTAGATAGCGGGCCTCAGAACGAACTAATGATAAGGGCCAATACCGTAAAGAATAGGCTCGCTAGGGTTGGCCGAGAACTCCCCATTCCGAAATTTAGATGTTATGGATGGGTTCATTCTCTTCCCGACAAATGGTGGGCTAGGATGACCAAGTATGTACTCAATCGTTGGGATCAAGAGTTAAGGAATTTGGGGTTATATGCTCCGATCCGAGCCAGCATGCATGGTCTTCCAGTCAGCGTAGATCATTTCCTTGCTTTATTTGAGTCTTATATTCCGGAGGCCAATACATTTCTTACCAAGTATGGGGAGTTAGGGCTTCCGCTCCACGAAATGATGCAAGTATCTGGACTGCCATTGGGGAACACTCCTTATCAAGAATATTTTCCCAACAATCGTCAGCTCATGAAGATGAAGAAGGCTGGCTCTCCTGCTTATGACATACTCTGGGAATTAACTTGTCACTATCAAATAGCGATAGCCAAGATTAAAGTAAAGAGTAAGAAGGCAGCTCGAGTCAGTTTAAAACAGTTCGCTGACTATTTGTTTCAGAATCTCGAGAGCCCGACCGGTGAAGCTGTCTGCGAATCACCGATTCTGACCCCTTCGGACGTTAACAGGCTGATTACGAAGATTAATGCCCAATCTTATAGAACCGAGTCATCTGAAGGCGGTTTTCTTAAGGGCACTAAATTCAGCACTTTCTTATGGCAAGCCACCAAGAGAATGAAGCCTGCGACTCTTCTTTCTGGTTATCTGGCCATATGGCTAAAGAAATGTGTAGTGCCGCATCAGTCTTCCGAGGCGCTTCCTCTTGAGGTTCTTCTTCCCGCCGTGCAATTAGCTGTTGGGGGTAGGTTATCCTTACTCTCCGCTATGATCGCTGACCTCCATAGCGGTTTGCGTAACCTATCTACCACTTTTACCAAAGTGGGTGCTGAGCCTTCAACTAAAATTCCATTGTCGAGCGTCGAACTGCCGTACACATATTTAATGGCGTGGCTAGTTCTCCATCGAGCGGACATGATGTCAGCACCTGACGCGTCTGATCCAGAAATCCCCTTGTTGCAGCTCTTAGAAGGATGTAAGTGGTTATATCCTTCCCGACCGTGGATTGACCGAGTGAGGCAGTTCAAGAATGCCAAGTGCTGGGAATTTTACAAGTGTTTCCCTCAGTTTTCTGGTGCCTATAATGATACACTCGTTGACGAGGAAATGCCTGGAGCTAACAGGACTTCTCTCGACGTGGGTAGCTTCCATTGGCTCATGAACATTCGCCCAGGCTATAATGTTTTTCGGTCGAAGAACCTTTGCAGGATTGAGCCTTATTTTCCTTGCCGTTTTGCGCGACAATTCGGCTACGATCAACTGTACATCGGGAATCCCAATAAATGGTTAATAAACTACGGAGGCCTCATTGATGGAGTACGAGCCTGGTTCTGGAATGTTGCCGGCTGTACCGGAGCTCAATTTAGTCTGCCTGTTGCTGAGCCTGAACTCCACATGACCTTTGTTTATTGCCGGTGGATTTTAGCCGCCAACACTCCTCTTGCGAAGAAGAAGCTTTCCGAACTGGAATCCGAGGCCGTGGTTCGGAGAATTGTATCTAAAAAAGGAAAGGAACCTGCTACATCTTCCCGCAAAGGAAAACAGATAGCTGATTCCGAAGAAAGTGACGACTTTGAAACATCCAGCGAAGAGGATGAGAGTAGAAATGAAGCAGAGGCTGATGTCCCTCCGTCTCCCGTGGCTCACAGGACTCGTCGAGCTTCTTCACCCAAATCACCCGGTGCTCCTTCTAAGGGTATTCGAATGATGGAGAAGAATATTCCCTTATCGTCTTCTAACAAGATGACAGTCAGATGGTCTGCGCTTGAGAGATTGAAGAAGAAAGGAAGAGAGGAAGGATCCACCCCGCCTTATTCCAGCAGAAAAGGAGATCCGATCTTCTGCCTCTTTTGGAAGTTCAACCCAGCCCCTGTCTCAAGGGTCTGAATTGCAGTTCAAGTTTCGCCATGAGAGCTCCGAGTTCCTCGGAGTTCTCGCTGCCTTCGAAAAGGGTTACAGAAGATGCTCATCAACAACGTTCAATCTCTCGTTGCCTGAAGAGAGTTTATCAGGATAATTCCAGATTGATCGAGGGGTAAGATGCTCATTCTTGTTTCGTTTTTCATTATTTCATCTTTGAATATAGCATCTTATTTTCTCTCTTTGCCATTATAGCTGGAGCCAGAAGGGAAGGGGAATCGTTGCCCGAGCCTTGCTTCTCCGGGTTAATGGATGTTGATGAGTCCAAGCTTCATCACCACAGGTGCAAAAGCGAATGGATGTGAAGAACCCCTCAAGTGCTGGACTACCTGCCTCTCGGCCACTACATCGACCTCACCAACTGCCGACACAGGTACAAATGTTTTCTCATTTGGGGGGCATTTCCGGGAGATAAGTGAATCGGAACATGTTCCTCTCCTACTAACTTGTGTGTTTTATCTTCTTTTAGTTAAACTAAAGGAGGTGAGTGCGGGTAGTAGCGCTGCTAATCCCGCAACTATTGTTGAAGGTAATCTCACTTTATTTGTTTTGATTCTTTCATATTTCTTGCATATATGTTGACGGATTCTTCTGCTTAATAGACCTTCCTGTCAACGAACCGAAAGACATAGAACTTACCCATGATATGGGTATCGGAGATTTCGATGAGCGAGACTTCGATCTTGACATTTCTGAAGATGTACACCAGGAGATCTCCGATATACTATCAACTCCGGTTCCATCCGCTACTGCAGGACCAACTACGCGAGTTGATTCAGCTGAAGTAGGTGCATCAAAAGGTATACTCTTTTAGACTCCAGTTTTCAACTGTACTTTCATCTTTTATTGTTCTTGGGGGACTGAAATAAGAATTTTAGACGTAGGACCAACCAACGAAGTTGATGCGTCTACCGTCATTGGTGAATGTGATCAACCTGAAGGTTTGGGTTTCTTACTTCTGGCAAGTCCTCCAGCTGAAGTTGAACCACCAGCCACTGCTCCTTCGACTTCCGCTATTGTCGAAGCTGAACCTGTTGTGCCTTCTGCTCCGACTCCAGTGGATCATGAAGTAGGAGGGTCGAAGGCTACAGTGGAAGAGCAACCTCCTGTTACTTCGGCTCAACTTGGTATGTCTCATCTAGTTGTGCTTCGAAGTTAGATTAATATTCGCGGAGTGTTTATTCATCCTTTCCTTATTGAAAGAACTTGTTCCTCAAGATCTTGTCGCTCTGGATCCGAAACCATCAGGGGTTTCAGGTGAACAATCGTCTGGTGTAGTGACTCAACCGACAAGCGTTATTCCTGAACAAATCCCGGTTGTTATAGAATCTGCTATGACCTCAACAAGCCAAGGTAACCCGGTTGTGAAACCTTCCAGCGAGTGTATATATTTTTGTGCTTACTCCATTTATTCCCCTTGCAGCTCTTTCTTCATCATTGTCCGAACGTATTCAGACTTTATTGGCAGATGAAGATCCAAACCAAGTTGCCCTCTGCGTTGACGTCCAAAGCTTCGTTCTTTTCTTAAACGCCATGGTTGATCGAATTCTTCTTAAAGGTTCACCATTTGAACTTTTCAGGAAGTCTCTCGACCGCCATGTATCAGGAATTAAATAACAGGGGTGCACTGAATTGTCTAACTCTATTGAAGCCTATTTGGTCGATCTGAAACATCACATTGAACAGTTGCAGAACTTTCGAGCTAATGGCACACCTTCTTACATCGCTTCTCAAACGGACCTGAGGCTACAGGCATGGCGTGATTCTCAGAAATCCGTTGAAACTGAACTTCAAGTACTGAAAACTCGCATCAATCAACTCCAGGTGAGCGCTGCCAAGAAAGCACAAATAAAGGTAGACATGTATCGTGACTTGGAGTCGCGTCGGGCAGAGATAGCTCATTTAGAAAAGCAACTTGCCGAAGCTAAGGATGCTTGTGAATTTTTGGAGTCTGATCTAGCGGAGGTAACTCAAGCCGAGGTGATTACACTCCGACAACTGAATCTTCAGGACAAGATTTTTGCTGACAAGGAGCAAGAAGCCGCCAAAATCCGAAGCATCGATGAAAGGAAATTTAAAGCAAATCTGATACCTGAGCTCAAGCTGGCTTTTGCGACAAGGCTTTCCCAATTAGAAGATGAACTCCGCCATTACAAATTATTGTAATTTTGAGAACATACATTTATTTTTTATATTGTTTCGTTTGAACTCTTTGACAAGGCTTTCCCAATTAGAAGATGAACTCCGCCATTACAAATTATTGTAATTTTGAAAACATACATATATTTTTTTTATGCTGTTTTGTTTGAACTCTTTTGGTTAATATAGTGAATTCTTTTGTTTATTAAGATTTTATTATGATTACTCATTCTTGTTTAGAATAAATAACCATAATACTCATAGGATTTTTGGCAAATCCTCAGCCATCAACGGATTTGATATGCCTTTACCGACTACCGTTTGAGTCGGGCTAGTATGTGAATTATCTAAGTCCGTTTCACATATAACGTTGTGCTAAAAGAACCGATTACCGTTTGAATCGGGCTAGTATGTGAATTATCTAAGTCCGTTTCACATATAACGTTGCGCTAAAAGAATTAAACTCTTTTAGACTTTGAACTACACTGTTGAATATGTAGGCTACATGTGTTAGATGTAGGCTTATCTCTAATAAGGGATAGAGATAACATCCCCCATGTGTGAACAACATGGATTTCAAAGTGTGAATAGGTTGCATTTCCTATATAGGACAACGAACCCAAAATCGGAGAGAAAAAGAATTGTATATTCCATTTCTCAATCTCTTGTTTGTTGGTAGAGATAAACCCATACTCGGAGAGGAAGAATTTTATATTCTATCTCCTGGTCTCTTGTTTGTTGGTAGAGATGAACCCAGAATCGGAGAGGAAGAATTTTATATTCTATCTCCTGGTCTCTTGTTTGTTGGTAGAGATAAACCCAGAATCGGAGAGGGAGAATTTTATATTCTATCTCCTGATGAAAAGGAAACTCACAGTGGAATCTCCACTTAGAGAAAATAGGTTGGTTTGAATAACCCTAACTGTCATAAGGTTTGATTACTCAATTCAAAAGTAAACCTTTCGTTCGCAAAAATGAATCGAAAGGAGATTTTGGTTGTGGTCCTAACTGTAGTAAGGTTTGACCAAGTGGGAATTTTGAGACGATCCTAACTGTAGGAAGGTTTGATCGCTCAATTTGTGGACCTCTCGTTCATGGAACGAATCGAGAGGGGATTTTGGCTTTGGTCCTAACTGTTTAAAGGTTTGACCAAGTGAGGAATAGGAGTAGGGTGCAAATAACAATGAGTTTGTTGATTTGCACAAACTAATCGGTGGGAAATTTTGATTTTAAACATAAGAATTTGACACGAAATAATCTGTCGACTGATACATACTGATGATCGTTGATCAATCCGACCGATGGGGGTTTCATAGCGTGAGATTACAAATCATCAAATCTCATCTTCCATGATTATATTACAAGGTTTTGCTGAGGAAAGATTAACTATCATTAAATCTCATCTCAACAAAAGTTGTAAAAGAACAATGAATTATTCAAATGACCAGCTTCTCATTTAAAATAGTGAACTGATCTCGGGTTATCCTGAAATATCCTATATAGGATTCTCTAGGAACTTCCCGCTTTACACAGGTTATCCTGAATATATTACGGATAATATTTTTTCAGGAACTTCCCATTTATTGGCATCATCAATTTGTTGCCATCTTGGGTAACCAGGCGATATGCACCGTTCGAATAGACTGTTTCTATCACAAACGGTCCTTCCCATTTAGGTTCAAATTTGCCTTTCTTCTTAGAAGTGAGAATCATAGGTCTTCGAACGGCGAGAACTAGATCTCCTTCTTTAAAGCTTCGTCGTCGGACCTTTTTATCGAAAGCCCGAGAAATTCTAGCTTGATAAAACTCAATTTGTTGTTGAGCTTCCAAGCGTTTCTCATCTAACATCTCTAATTCCTCAAGACGTTTCTGATGATGTTCTTCCGTCGTCATTCCCGTTACGAGAGCGATACGGAGGGAAGGCATACGGGGTAGTTCCGGTAGGCGTGCGGACGGTCGTACGATAAGCCCAGAGAGCTTCGCCGAGTTTGTCATCCCAATCTCGCTTATTGGTTTTCACCAATTTTGCCAGAATTTTGATGATAGTCTTGTTAAAAGCTTCGGCCAATCCGTTAGCTGTGGGATTATAAGCAGTCGATGAAACGTTTTTAATCCCGAATTTACCGCATAACTTGATAAATGCGTTGCTCACGAACTGAGGACCGTTGTCGTGCACTATTCGCCTCGGAACACCGTATCGATATATGATATGGAGTTTGATAAATTTGATCACATCACCCGTCTTTACTTCTCTAAGTGGAACTGCTTCTGCCCATTTCGAGAAATAATCGGTGATTGCCAGAATGAAACGGTCCCCTTTAACCGAAATTTCGAGAAGTAATCGGTGATTGCTAGAATAAAACGGTCTCCTTTAACCGAAGGTGAAAAAATAGGACCTACAATGTCCATTCCCCATGTCTCGAACGGCCACGATGTCGCCGAAGGATGCAGATACTCAGGGGGTATGTGCATATAATTTGCATGCAATTGACACGCTTCACATTGTCGTGCGTAGTTGACTGCGTCTTTTACCATAGTCGGCCAGTAATACCCGATTCTCCTAAGTCGATCACAGAGTTTAGGACCGGGCTGATGTGCACCGCATATCCCATCATGCGCCTCTTTGAGTGCTTGTTCCGCTTCTTTGCTGGATAAACAACGGAGTAAAAGACCATCATAGGATCGTCGATACAACGTTTGCGCTGTAGCATTGTAGTAAAATCTCGGCGCTCTTCGCCGAATCGATTCCCTTTCTCTTACATCTTCAGGTAATATACCATGTAAGACGTAGTCAATAATAGGAAAACGCCAATCTCGAACTTCGGGTTCAACTCCAGTTGAGTATACCTCTTTAGCATTCGAATCGTAGATTGGAACAATAAGCTGATGAGTCCTCACTGTAATTAATTGCTCTGTTTCGGGAGGTTGAGCCAAGGATACTGACAATGCTGCCAATGCATCCGCGTATGTATTTTGGAGACGCGGAACGTACTCGATGAAAAATTCTTCAAACGAGCTTGCTATTTCGATGGCCACCTGGTGGTATGGAATCAGGTCTCGATTTCTGACTTCATACTCTCCTCGTATTTGATTAACCACCAGTTGAGAATCTCCAAAAGCTTCAAGGTATTCGACCCCCAGCTCTTTGGCGAAATTAAGTCCGATTATTAATGCATTGTATTCAGCTACGTTATTAGAGCATGGTTCAGTCAGTGAATATGCTCTAGGCAAGACGTGCTTTTCCGGGGAAACTAAAACGACCCCCACTCCTGAGGAGATTTTAGAACATCCGGAAGAACTTGCCACGTTGGTTGCTCGGGAAGCCCCATCGAAGTACAATTGCCACACTTGTTGATGTGAGGTGGTATTAACTTCGTGAGTTTCATCTGGCAGGTCGTCGTACAATTCGACTACATCCTTCGTAGGGTTTTCTGCCAGAAGATCGCAAATAGCTCGTCCTTTAACAGATTTCTGTTGCTTGAAGTACAAGTCATATTGCGATAGGAGTAAAGCCCATCTGGCCAAACGCCAATTCATGGAAGCTGGTTGGGTCATGAACACTCGGACGGGATTTATGTTGGAAATGACATAAATTGTCTGTCCAACTAAATAGTGTCGCATTTTCTGAATCGCGAATACCAAAGCGAGGCATTCCTTCTCAATCATCAGATAACGAGACTCAGCTCCTACCAATGTACGACTCAGATAATACACAGCTTGCTCGTGACCGTTATCGTCGTCTTGTGCAAGTAATGCACTTAACGAATGGCTCGTCGCTTTGACATAAATCAAAAACGGTCTGCCCGATTTCGGTGCAACGAGAATAGGTGGATTCGCCAGATATTTCTTAATATCTTCGAATGCCTTTTGGCATGCTTCATCCCAAACAAATGACACACCTTTCTTCGCAAGTTTAGAGAATGGTTGACATTTTCCGGACAGATTTGATATAAACCGACGGATGTATGCCAATCGACCTTGCAACCCTCTGAGTTCTTTAAGATTTCTCGGGGGTTGTAA